ACCTCTCATGGATTCCGCAAGCTTCCGTCGATTTCTTGGTGCTCGCCTCCTGATCCTCCACTATCTTCGCCCCCACTCGTCATGGCCTTAGATTTCACTGCGAGCAACCTACCTGCGTTGACTCTGCTAGCTTTCTCCGATTCCTGGTGCTCGCAACCAGCTCTTCATGGCATTTGAAGGCCTTTGATTGAACCCACTCAAACCTACACCTAGTCGACTCCGCTAGCTTCCGTCGGTTCTTGGTGCTCGCCTCCTGGTTCTGGGCATTTCCGCCTTTGCACTTCATGGCGTTTGAAGGCTTTTTATTCCAATCCAACCTACCCCTCGTTGACTCTGCTAGTTTCCGCCGGTTCTTGGTGCTCGCCTCCTGGTTCTCGGCAATCTTCAACCCTTGCTCGTCCAGTGACGTCCGTGCGCTCTCCAGGTCGAACTCTGGGGAGAGAGAAGGCTCGGAGGGTTGCATGCACAGATAGAAGAGAGACGGACAATGAAGCCACGCAGACATAGGATGCGTGAGAGTACAAAAAGAAAAACTAGGGGATGAGGTTGTAAATGCGGAGGCGGATTTTCAGACAAGAAAGAAAACCGACATGACGACTTGGGTAGAATGAACAGAGCGGAGGAAAAAAAGAGATACCAACAGGACACAAGAAACGAGAGAGACCGGGAGACGCGCATTGGCGATGAATCAGAGGAAAGACACTGGCGAGAAAGGTTCCTGGTAATTTCTGTACCCTTCCAGTAATTCAAGATGAACGGCAATCCGAAGCTGCTGGCGTCTGCGACCGTCGATTCCGTCGCCGTTCCGTCGCCTGCCACCGTCCCCGGAGCGACGATCGCCGCTGCAGCATCCTTCGCCTCTGATTGGTCCATTTCCTCAGCCAATGGTCAGCGACTAGGTACACCACTGACAAACTGTAATACGCCTAGCGCGTGAGCCGAAAGTGTGCCAGACCACAAGCACATCCGGACGGCGCGGCTCCGAAGCGTGGTGTTCTAAGCAGCTAGGGACGACCTAGAGAACTACTTCCCGTTACGGAGACGGCAGTATGAGGATTCAGGACAGGAGACCTGACAGAAATCTCGGAACTGGAGTGGAATCCCAAGGGAAAAGTAGTAAGAGTGAGGTGAATGCTGTAATGCTTCTCTCTGCCACTTCCTGCTCGATTGCTCTGGTAGTCAGGTACAGTACCTCAACCTCGAGATCATCGCCGGGCCTCTCCTCACCTTGGCGAAACATTGTGGCGTTGGCGAAAGGGTGCGTAACTGAAGTGAGTACCCGACTACAAAGTTAGGGCGTGTCCAGCGCGTACATTTGATTACGGTTGGGTGAGGTGCCTCACGGATCAGAAGGATCGATAACAAACCTAAAACGTTTGGGTAGGGTTTTGACAATTACACGTACGCGCTGGCCTGCCCTAAGATATCTTAACACCTTTCTCTGAATATGTGCTCACACATGCATAACCATGCTAATGAAGGAGAACCGATGACATGCACTTATGATGCTGCCCAGTATCCATAAAGTTACTTCAAATAATCAATATCATACTTTCTGCAACTTGGTCTGTCCATATGTAGAGAAGGGCATTCCTTCCTACCTTGCCGAGGCACATCTATACACAAAGTAGAGTAGAGTTACTCATGCCTATTATATTTTTCTTGATATATTGATTTCCACATATATTGATTTTCTTGCCTACTCTGGCTTGGTGATGCACCTGGAGTGCAAAAATAACCTGGAATTTATGTTATGAGCTTTGAAAGCATTTAACAGTAATTATTTGTGACGACACCCAGTTTTGTTATCCACTCTGCTTCATCCTAGCGATAACGCGGACTCTTGTAGTTCAGGCGAAGCCATAGAAATTTCCGAGGAAGCAAGCCAAGTGAGTCATGGTGCAGGGATGCTCCAGCCTCTAACACGGAGAATGAAGCACCCACCATGGACCTGATTTGCGGAGTCCTGTGCTTTCGTATTAGTCGTTAGTGCTTGCGCTCCGGAATTCGAAACGTCTGCAAGGAATTCAGGATCGAATGGTTGATCCTGGCTTGTAACAGTGTAGAGTAGCTCCCTAGAAGCGGCCAGGGTATGCCATAGGTCTCTTGAAATGATGACGCGTGGCAGGTTGGCCAACCCGCGAAGATCTGGGCCGTTCGTTCGATATGGCCTACCGATGCTGTCGATGATGGTCGTCGGATCCGTGGGGCTGGGCTACATGGTGCAAGGCAGGTGCGGTTTCGGACTCGCGGGTAATGGAGGTACGGTAGTGCGTGCCTTATATCGAATAACCAATATGGTTCGCGGTTTCGAACTACCAAGTATCTCTCATGCTGGCCGGTTCCCCTTTCATTCCCCTTTCCATTGAGACCTGGAGCGCGCCAAGCATGATGGGGGTTGGGTTGGTGGGCGTTGGGTTGCAATCCCATCCCGTTGCGTGCAAGAAACCCTTCTGTTGTTTCCCTTTCACTCATGCTGGCCGGTTCCCCTTTCATTCCCCTTTCCATTGAGACCTGGAGCGCCAAGGATGATGGGGAGTGGGGAGCAACGCAACGCAACGCAACGCAACGCAGCCCCTTTCCTAGACATTGCACGCATGCTCTTGATGTTCCCTTTGCATGCTCTTGATGTTCCCTTTGCATGCTCTTGATGTTCCCTTTGCGCCCATCTGCCTTCAACCGCTCTTGACCCATGCTAATCCGCCTTCACTCATCTGTTCCATTTCCCCCCTTCAGGCGGGACCTGGAGCGAGCCACGGATGATGGGGAGTGGAGTGGGCAGCAAGCCCACTCCGGGGCGTGCAAGCCCTTTTTCTGTTCCCCCTTTCACTTCTCCTCGCCCGTTCCCCCCGTCTCTCCCCGTCACTCCCCCGTCACTCCCCCGTCACTCCCCCCGTCTCTCCCCCCGTCACTCCCCGTCACTCCCCCCGTCACTCCCCCGTCACTCCCCCCGTCACTCCCCCGTCACTCCCCCGTCACTCCCCCGTCTCTCCCCCCGTCACTCCCCCGTCACTCCCCCCGTCTCTCCCCCCGTCACCCCCCGTCACTCCCGTCACTCCCCCGTCACTCCCCCGTCACTCCCCCGTCTCCCCCGTCACTCCCCCCGTCTCCCTCCCCCTCACTCCCCCCGTCACTCCCCCCTCTCTCCCCCCGTCTCTCCCCCGTCACTCCCCCGTCACTCTCCCCTTCACTCCCCCGTCACTCCCCCCGTCACTCCCCCGTCACTCCCCCGTCTCTCCCCCCGTCTCTCCCCCCGTCACTCCCCCCCGTCACTCCCCTCTCTCCCCCCGTCTCTCCCCCCGTCACTCCCCCGTCACTCTCCCTTCACTCCCCCGTCACTCCCCCCGTCACCCCCCGTCACTCCCCCGTCACTCCCCCCGTCACTCCCCCGTCTCTCCCCCCGTCACTCCCCCGTCACTCCCCCGTCTCTCCCCCGTCACTCCCCTCACTCCCCCCGTCACTCCCCGTCACTCCCGTCACTCCCCCCGTCTCCCCCGTCACTCCCCCGTCACTCCCCCGTCTCTCCCCCCGTCACTCCCCCCGTCACTCCCCCCGTCACTCCCCGTCACTCCCCGTCACTCCCCCGTCACTCCCCCCTCACTCCCCCCGTCTCTCCCCCGTCACTCCCCGTCACTCCCCGTCTCTCCCCCCGTCACCCCCCCGTCACTCCCCGTCACTCCCCCCGTCACTCCCCCGGTCACTCCCCCCGTCACTCCCCCCGTCACTCCCCCCGTCTCTCCCCCCGTCACTCCCCCCGTCACTCCCCCCGTCCTCCCCCCGTCTCTCCCCGTCACTCCCCCCGTCTCTCCCCTCACTCCCCCGTCACTCCCCCGTCACTCCCCCCGTCACTCCCCCCCGTCTCTCCCCCCCGTCTCTCCCCCCGTCACTCCCCCGTCCTCCCCCCGTCTCTCCCCCCGTCACTCCCCCCGTCACTCTCCCCTTCACTCCCCCCGTCACTCCCCCCGTCACTCCCCCCCGTCACTCCCCCCGTCACTCCCCCCGTCTCTCCCCCGTCACTCCCCCCCGTCACTCCCCCCGTCACTCCCCCCGTCACTCCCCCCGTCACTCCCCCCGTCACTCCCCCCCGTCACTCCCCCCGTCACTCCCCCGTCACTCCCCCCGTCACTCCCCCCGTCTCTCCCCCCGTCACTCCCCCCGTCTCTCCCCCGTCTCTCCCCCCGTCACTCCCCCGTCACTCCCCCCGGTCTCTCCCCCCGTCTCTCCCCCCGTCACTCCCCCCGTCACTCTCCCCTTCACTCCCCCCGTCACTCCCCCCGTCACTCCCCCCGTCACTCCCCCCGTCACTCCCCCCGTCTCTCCCCCGTCACTCCCCCCGTCACTCCCCCCGTCACTCCCCCCGTCACTCCCCCCGTCACTCCCCCCGGCTCTCCCCCCGTCACTCCCCCGTCACTCCCCCCGTCACTCCCCCGTCTCTCCCCCGTCTCTCCCCCCGTCTCTCCCCCCGTCACTCCCCCGTCACTCTCCCCTTCACTCCCCCTTTCACTCCCCCCGTCACTTCCCCCCCGTCACTCCCCCCGTCACTCCCCCGTCTCTCCCCCCGTCACTCCCCCCGTCACTCCCCCCGTCACTCCCCCCGTCACTCCCCCCGTCTCTCCCCCCCGTCTCTCCCCCCGTCACTCCCCCCGTCACTCTCCCCTTCACTCCCCCTGTCACTCCCCCTTTCACTCCCCCTTCAGGCGGGACCTGGAGCGAGCTAAGGACGACGGGGAGTGGGCGGCGCTAGAGGCAACTCGATCGCTGACGAGGGAAAGCGACATTGGAGAGCTGAAAACGCCGGCTAAACGGAAAGCGATGGACCTGGAGGAAGAGCTCAAGGTGAGCTAGTGAGGATCGATGGAAATGTGCTGCACTGCAAGGGACATTGGCAAGTTGAAGGCACCGATTGAAGGCACCGAGTTGAAGGCACCGAGTTGAAGCACCGAGTTGAAGGCCGAGTTGAAGGCACGAGTTGAGGCACCGAGTTGAAGGCACCAGGGAGACGGAAAGTCATGGACCTGGAGGAAGAGCTCAAGGTGCGATTGTGAGGATGGATGGAGATGAGCAGCTCTGCAAGAGACGTTGGTGAGTTGAAGGCACCGGGCAGTCGGAAAGCCATGGACCTAGACAGAGGAGAGACGGGGAGTGAGCGACACTAGAGGCAACTCGATTGCTGACCAGGGAAAGGGCGTTGAAGAGTTGAAAGCACCTGAGGTTACGGAACGTGATGGAGCTGGAGATTTTTTAGGCGCCTAGAAAAAAGACCGGTTACGGAACGGATGAGCTGGAGGAAGAGCTAAAGGTGAGAAGAAGTGGAGGTGAGAAGTCAACTGAAGCAGTTGAATATTTCTTCCACCACGCCGAGTTGCATCTGCGGACAATAAGTCGTTCCTTGTTGACCCATGACGTTAATTTAGGCTGAAACGTCCGCAGTGTCAATCGTGCCCATCCTTTCTATAGCCGCTCTGCAAAAACCCTGCTGTCTGCTCTACACTGCAACACGAGGGTTGTTGCCTGCCCGGATCTTGCCTCCGCTTGCATTGCATGCATGCTTGCATGCGCTCTTTCTTCCCTAATGCATGCTGCTCACACGTACGGTCTATGCCTCACTTTTGTGCACTCCACTGTGTCCCGTGGTTCAACTTCTTTTTATGAGGCGCCTAAAAAATATGCTATCCGATCTTGTCCATGCCTCGCTTTCGTGCACTCCACTGTTTCCTGTCTCCTCGTGGTTCAACTTCTGTTGCCAGAGCATGCAGCAGAAGATCGACATCAACAACTATGAGTTCAAGCCCGTGCCCAAGCCCAAGGAGGACTAACTGACCCAGAATCCATACTGTAGATACTGTAGCTGTTGGCAGCAGATGGTTACTGTTGTGGTAGTGTTCGCCACACCGGGGTTTCAACTCTCATCACAACAGTGTCACGTCACGGCAATGCATGTCGAGCCAGTGATCACTGATCATCACAGTCGCGAGTTCCCGCTGCCGGCAGCATACAAATGTCGGGTCTTCCTGTCGAAGTCTAGCCTGTTTGCCCTGCTTGATCGGGGTGTCTACCTTTCCAACTGTCTCAGGCGAGTGCCATGTCCGCTGTTCGTGCAAAATAGCCATGTTATTTAATCCAGAGGTGCCTCCATCTGATCAGGCAGGCTCCTTCAATAGGTTGTCAAAGAAAAGTACGGTAGCGGTAGGTGCAAATACCAGTACAGTAATGCACTGGGGCTCCGGTTTAGTACCGTCGTAACAGTGGCTTAATCAAATGATGCTGTGTGTGTAGTATGAGAGAAGAGTTGGACTTAACGATTAAGGCTGGCTGTTTGTCACAAAATGAGCCATCTCAAGACTTGGAAGCGTGTGCGATTAATCCGCTCTGCATGTGCGTTGGATTGGAAGGTGGTGACAATGGGATAAGCATACAGAGGGGAAAGTAAGAAGCAAGGAGAGGGATTACTTAAAATGAAAGTATTTTACGAGTTACATCGCATCAATCCTGACAGTTGGACCTGAAATACTTCCATCATTTTACGACTTGTATTTTGAGTCATCTAAAAAAAAAAACACCATGGTTAACCCTGAAAAGTATGGGTCCATCGGTGTCATCCACTTATGCACTTGAAGACAGCAAACTAATGGTAGGCGATTTCAGCCTACAATTTCAGCAAACTAACGGAGCATGAGCAGATAAAGACACAGGGAGAGAAAGTATGACAGCAGAGTGGTACAGCCAGCAGCAGAGTGGTACAGCCAGCAGCAGAGTGGTAGGGAACGAAACGAGCATCTGAGCAACCAAACACACAGTTGGAAGACTGTAAACTCACTCCATGGGTTGACTTGTTTTGTCTGTATCTGCTGCAGGCACCTTGATATCGGATGGCAATTGACCAGATTGCAGAGCCTGATGCGGTGTGTTATGGTGAGATGTGGTGTGAGGAACAGGGCATTGTCGACGAGGGGCGGGGGGACGGGGGAGGTAGGGCAGTTATAACAAGGACGCAGAAATGTTATTTACCAAATGACCTGAAAAAGAATCGGAAGCAGCGAAAGCTCAGCACTGAAAAAAGAAAAGCATTCACTACGAGTCTCTCTGTCTGTCTGTCTGACACACAACTCACATGATTACGCATGAGTCTGCTTTTGAGCCGACTCAAAAGCGTTTTCTACAAGTCTGCCTGTCTGAAACACAACTCACATGGTTACGCATGAGAAGAGAGTTGTGAGGCAAGTATCACGCAACCCACCTTCTCGAGCCGAGCAACCTCCTCCAGCGTCTGAGCCGTGCTGATGGCCGCCTGCAGGAGACACATCGAATCCGATGGGAGGGATGTGAGTAAAGGGGGAGGGGTGTGAAGGGGTGTGAAGGGGTGTGTGTGACACACGGAGACTGGACGAGTCGAGCAACCTCCTCCAGCGTTTGAGCCGTGCTGATGGCTACCTGCACAAGTGAGAACATGGAGGAGTGGACTACTGGACATGAGCGGAAGAGGATGCTCGTTTCCTCCTCCTGAGGCGCCTCAAAAAGTGACTGAGCCGTGCTGATGGCTGCCTGAACAAGGGAGAATAGGGAGGAAGGAATGGGCTTTATTTTGACATGAGTGAAAGTTTGAGGTGCCTCAAATGCGACCTCTTCCAGCGTCTGTGCTGTGCTGATGGCCACATGCCCAAGGGAGAACAGGGAGGAGTGGGCATCCCTGATCCAAGGGAGTGGACATGAGCACCGATATTGGACAAAATGACTTTTTGAGTCGACTCAATGGAGAGGAGTGGACATGCCGCATGCGCACCCCTATTGGACATCACGATGATTTACTATATTGGACATGAGGAAAGAAGCCATTACGTTGATTGATGGCTCGTTGCCTCTCTGAGCACCTGTCAGGCTATTACCCTCATGGCTGTTCTGTGCTCTGGCGTTCGCCCCTCTCTCCCTGTGCACTCAGAAGCAGCACACACACACACATATACACACTCCCCTTCCCCCCCCCCCCCCTTCTATCCTCTGGATACCTGCAACTCCCCCAAAACTCGCAGTCGCGATTACACACCCCCCAGTCCCCTCCCTTCTTTTCTCCCCCCCCCCACTAACAACCCCTGTTACAATCACCTCGATTGCTGTGACTTCTTCTGGGTGTTGGCCCCTGCTTTGCTGCTGCTGCTGCTGCTGCTGCTGTAGCACCCCCCATGCTTGGATAACCCCAACCCCCCCACCCATAATCACCTTGATTGCTGTGATCTGTTCTGGTGTTGGCCCCTGTTTGGCTGCTGCTGCCGCTGCTGACGCTGCAGCACCCGGCCCTTCCCCCCCGCCCTCCTTCTCACCACCAACTGCTGCTGCAGCTGCAGCCCCTCCTTGCCCTGGCCCCCCTGCGTCTGCTAGAGCCTCCCCAGGAACAAACGTGTTTGCTGACACGCGCTTGGCTGCTGCTGCTGCTGCCTTGTCCTTGCCGAATGTGGATTCTGCTTCTTGCCTCTCCTGATATTGATGGGAACAGGGGGAGAGGGGGGGGGGGGGGGGGGTGTGAGAGGAGCTAAGACGTCAACTAGGCACCTCACTGCTTCTGCTAGAGCCTCCCCAGGCACAAAAGTCTTTGGCGCTTGGCTGCTTTATACTTGCCGAACGTTGCCTCTGCTTCTTGCTCTCCTGATATTGACGAGAACGGGGGGGGGGGGGAAGAGGGGCTAAGACGTCATCTAGGCACCCCCCATGCTTCTGCTAGAGCCTCCCCAGGCACAAAAGTCTTTGGCGCTTGGCTGCTTTATACTTGCGAACGTTGCCTCTGCTTCTTGCCTCTCCTGATATTGACGAGAACGGGGGGGGGGGGAAGAGGGGCTAAGACGTCATCTAGGCACCCCCCATGCTTCTGCTAGAGCCTCCCCAGGCACAAAAGTCTTTGGCGCTTGGCTGCTGCTGCTGCTGCAGGTGCTGCTTTATCCTTGCCTCTGCTTCTTGCCTCTCCTGATATTGACGAGATGGGAGGGGGGTGGGGATGGGGTGTGGGGGAAAGAAGAGGGAGGGGGAAGTCTTAAGAATTGAAAGACGTCAACTAGGCACCCCCATGCTTCTGATAGAGCCTCGCCAGGCACAAAAGTCTTTGGCGCTTGGCGGCTGCTACTGCTGCTGCAGCTGCTGCTTTGTCCTTGCCAAACGTTGCTTCCGCTGCTTGCCTCTCCTGCTATTGACAAGATGGGAGGGGGGTGGGAGGGGGGTGGGGGTGGGGGTGGGGGTGGGGTGTGGGGGGTGGGGTGTGGGGTGTGGGGGAAAGAAGAGGGAGGGGGAAGTCTTAAAAATTGAAAGACGTCAACTGGGCACCCCCCATGCTTCTGATAGAGCCTCGCCAGGCACAAAAGTCTTTGGCGCTTGACTGCTGCTGCTGCTGCTGCGGCCTGCGGCGGGAGGAAGGGAGGGGAGGGGAGGGAGGGGAGGGGGAGTGGTAGACGGGTGTCAGAGAGAGGAGAATCCAGGATGAGGCAGCAACGCACCCTCAGCTTTTGAGGCGCCTAAAAAATCAAAGACAGCAACGCACCTTCAGTTTTACCTTTTGGAAGTCCAGTAGTCGCAGCTTGGGCAGCACCAGGTGAATGGCATAGAGGCAGTCCTTGGGCTTCTTGACCACCGTGTTGCCAATGAGCGACAGGGAGGTCAGGGAGGTCAGGGAGGTGAGGGAGGTGAGGGAGGGAGGTGAGGGAGGAGAGGGACGCGAGGGAGGAGAGGTAAAGAGACATCGGAGTAGTGAGCCACGGCCTGCAAGGTACGGCACACTAACGCACCTTCAGCTTGACCTTTTGGAAGTCCAAGAGCCGGAGTTTTGGCAGAAGGTGGATGGCGTACAGCCTGTACTTGGGCTTCTTGACAACCGTGTTGTCGATGAGCGAGAGGGAGGTCAGAGAATGCCCCAGCGATGCCAAAGGGTCCAGATCTGCGAGGTTGGTGATGCGGTTGTTGGCCAGAACAAGAGTTTGCAGCTTGGGCAGATGGGCTGCACAGAGGAAAGAGGGGGGAGGGGGGGGGGGGGGGGAAGACGACAGACGACAAAGAGGTGAGGGAGTGGCCCAGGGACGCCAAAGGTTTGAGATCTGCGAGGTTGGTGATGCGGTTCTTGGCCAGAACAAGGGTCTGCAGCGTGGGCAGATGGGCTGCTTGGGGAGGAGGGATAAGTTGGAAGAGGGGGAAGAGGTGGGGTCGAGGGGGGGGAGGGGGGAGGGGAAAGGGGAAAGGGGAAAGGGGAAAGGGGAAAGGGGAAAGGGGAAAGGGGAAAGGGGAAAGGGGAAAGGGGAAAGGGGAGAGTAGGCAGGTAGAGAGGGTCAGCAGGGAGAGGGCCAGGGGATCAGTCGAGGCCTGTGACGTTGGTGATTCGGTTGTTGGCCAAATCAAGGGTCTGAAGCTTGGGCAGACGGGCTGCTCGGGAGGGAAGAGGAGAGGGGGGGGGGGGAGAGAGACGGCAGACGACAAAGAGGTGAGGGAGTGGCCCAGCGACGCCAGAGGGTCGAGGTCTGTGCCGTTGGTGATGCAGCTGTTGTTGCTGGCGGCGTTGTTGGCCAACACGCGGGTCTGCAGCTTGGGCAGATGGGCTATTCGGGGGAAAGAGGAAGGCGGGGGGGGGAGTGAAAGGAGGGGGGATTGGGTGGGTGAGGAGGGAGAGGGAGGGGAAAGAGGGAGAAAGCAGAGGGGTCATGGCCTGGCAGGGGACATGACACATCAGCATATGATACGTACTACCTAGCAGGGGACATGACACATCAGCATATGATACGTACTACCTAGCAGGGGACATGACACATCAGCATATGATACGTACTACCTAGCAGGGGACATGACACATCAGCATATGATACGTACTACCTAGCAGGGGGCGTAAGGTACCTAGCCAACGTCAGCGTATGATACGTCAGCATACGACATGTCAGCGTACGATACGTACTACCTAGCTGGGGGCTGATGCGTGTGATGCGGTTGTTGCAGAGCAGCAGAGTGGACAGCCGCCGCAGCAGAGGAAAGCCCTCCAGCTTCACGATCTCGTTGTCCGACAGGTCTATGCTGTCAAACAGATCCTGATATCAGGGGAAGGGGGGGGGGGGGGGGGGAGGGGGAGCTCGTTGTCCGACAGGTCTATGCTGTCGAATACGCCCTGCTATGGGAAAAGGTGGGGTAGGCGGAGGGAGAATATGCGCGCCGGAAGGGAGTATGATATGATGCGACATGTGTGGAGACACCGCAGAGGGAAGCCCTCCAGCTTCACGATCTCGTTGCTGGATAGTTCTATGCTGTCGAATAAATACGGACGGGTGGTGGAGGCGGGGGGGGAGAATATACGGGCCGGAGGGGAGTATGAATTGACATGTCTAGCTGCCGGATAGGTCTATGCTGTCAAACAGGTCCTGGCGGAAGGGGAGGGGGTTGAGGGGAGGTGAGGGGGGATAAGGGGAGAGAATGAACCGCCGGGATCTATGGCGGGATAAGAAAAGCGGACTCGGGGATTTTAACTGGCGTCTCCGGCAAGCAAGAGGAGAAATACAGGGGGAGGCTGTGAGGGTGTGATAGGTTTTTGAGAATTCTCAAAAACCGGACACGGGAGGAGAGGTTGCGAGGGGAAGGAAGAATTGGAACGGGATAGGATTGGAGAAAAAGGTTGATATGGAGGCAAGGTCTAGGGAACGGGTTAGAGGGGAATGATTGCTTTTTATTTTCTTTTTATCTTTGGAGGGAAGCAGAGTGGGCTCACCTCTGTAGCGCCGAGATTCTCAATGACTGCGATTTTATTCCCTGCCAGGCATACCGTCGTACAGTCACATCGCAGAATCACACCGTAAGCCACTTTGCAGAGTCACGTGTACACGGTGAAAGGGATGTGCTAAAAAAGGATGCCCTTTCAACAGTGATGGTGGCGGACGACATAGAAAGGAGGGCTGAAATAGGACCGCATCAGGTGGAAAATTGTCTGACAAATAATAATAATAATAAAATCTGCTGGATTACGCTGGAGAAAACGAGCGAATTATGCGGGTTGGCCAACTTATCGCGATCAGAGAATCAAAATTATGCGACGGGTATTATTCCGACTCGAGCCATACCGTAAGTGACGGTGGCGTACCTCTCAGGTCAATCTCTCGCTCCCGCACCGCGTTGAAATACTGCGGCGATTCGAGGATGAGATCCGCTGTCAGGCGAACCATGGCGACGGCTGGCGAAGGCTAACGAAATCCGTACGACGGGACGACGAAAGCCCCGCTAACGATTCAACAGCGCGACCGCAGAAGCCGCACGCTGACGTCTAAGAAATATGTTGCGGCGGGAGTCGGGACGGATTTTGATCTAAAATCGGTGGATCATTTGGAAATGGCGGACATAGCGGTTCGGAACGCGCAGAGAACTGATTATGGTGGGAAGGGAGGGAAGGCTGACTGGCCAAGGCTGGAGGCCAGGGCTGCCTGACTGACTGAGGGTCTGTATTTGGAGATCAAAGCATTTGACGAGGGTGTGGCAGGATAGAGAGGGTGGGGGTCGGGTTCCAGGTGTGGACTCGAAGTTGTGATGTGCAATGCAGCTTTACTGAGATAAAACTCCACACTTACATAAGCAGCAACACTTCTGCTCGTGAGTTTGTTTCACACCAGCGGTATATCGTGCTACTGACCGTACATGTTATCGAGGCCCCTAATACTGAGCGTCGATATACTTTCCGCATAGGAAACGGATGGAACAAAGAAATTTCCGCTACAGCCAGCCTCGTTACACCTTCAAACATTGTAATTTTATTTTATCCTGCTACCCTGAACCCTAAAGTTTCCTTTTCTGCCTGCCCTTCCCCTCGTGGGTTGTCATCATGCGCGCTGCTCATTATGACACACTCATGGGACGATGCGCGAACTAACAGGATCTACTAGCTTCAGTAAACCAGTGATCAGAACTATGGGAGATCTAGTCTAGCACCTTACGTCATAAGTTGCTGTCAGGGCGTGTTCCTACGTGACACAATGTCAGGCACTTCGGGTCATTCGGGATTTTGCCCGTCAAATTTGCCCCGTCAATACAATTCTGACACGAAGTAGCGTGACATTGTGTCGCGTAGGGACACGCCCTCAGTCAGGGCCCCCCTCACCCGCGTCTGTCACTTCGTAGCCGATCCCATCCCATCATCAACTTCCCCCTGCCACTTCTGCTCCCCCCGTTTCACTCCCGCTGCATATAGTCCCTCATCTCTCTCTACTGTAGCAGGCCATCATGGCGGCAAAACCGGCGTCTGACGCACCGCCTGTCCCGCGCACGTTACTTCCACGCATCCACTCAGATTCCGTGCTGTGCTGCCACGTGGACGCTTCGGATTGCCTCCTTGCGACCGGCAGCGAGGTGAGGCGCATCAAATCTTCCACGCTAGTTAGTCTCGCACGGTAATTAATATAGCTAGCGGTAACGCAGGATTTATACTTGGACGCTGGCGGAAACGATGCGGCGTTAGGGCATTGAAACGCGTTATAATCACACCTGGTTATAGTTCTATGGGCCGTTAGTTCTTGACGAGGCCGGCATGGCTCTATGAGCAGAAATGGTCAGCTCCCCTGCAGCAGACGCAGCAATGGAGTGATGCAGCAATGCAGCAGACGCAGCAATGGAGCGATCTCGTACACAAACTATTCCTTCCCCTCCAGTTTTCCATTACTCACCATGCATGCACCCACCCACTCTACACATCCCTGCTCCCGCGCAACCATGCACACCACACCACACAGGATGGCAGCATGGCGTTGTGTGACATACGAGCCCCAGCACCATCCCCACCCCTCCACCTCACCTGCTTCGGTGGAGCCTCGGTACCGAGCCTGCTCTTCCTCCCAGGCACGGTATTCCTTGCACCTCTATTGCTCGCTCCATACACCCAAGATCATGTTGCTATTTTTCTACATTTCACACTTTCTTAGTCTAGAAGCGCGTCGAATCTTCACTCTCCGTGTTGATATCTCCATTTCCCCTCTCCCCCTCCCCGCCTTCCCCCCTCCTCCCCCCTCTCTCACTCTCACTCATCAGCCCGGGAGCAAATGCTAGTTGCTGCGGCAGGCTCGTCTGCTTCGTCCATCCCACTCGCAAGCAGTAATGCACTCTCTTTTCTTCCTTCCCCCCCCCATCCCCTTCCCCGCTCCCCCCCCCAACCCACCCACCCCCCTCATCCCCTCTCATCAGCCCAGGAGCATGTGCTGGCAGCTGCAGCAGGCTCGTCCGTCTTCCTTGTTGACAGGCGAAAGGCGGTGAGGAGGGGGGGGGGGGGAGGCAGGAGTGAAGGGGGGGTGGGGGGAGGGGGGGAGGGGGGGGAGGGGGGGGTGGCCGGGGGTGGGGGGAGAGGGATGGGTGATGGGGGGGAGCGAGGGTAGCGAGGGTAGTTGGCAACTGCTGCAGGGCGGCAAAGGGCGGTGGTGTAAGAAGGGAGTGAGGCGTGGTTCTAGTCTAGAAGGGATAGTGGGGGGGGTTAGAGATGGGGTGGGTGTTGGGATGATTTTAGGGTGGGTGTTGGGATGGCTGTTGGTTGGGAGTTGGGGGGGTGGGGGTAGTGTCGTTGCTTGCTGCTAGTTCCGTTGCTTCTGGTCTCGTTGCTGGGGTTGACATGCCATGGCATCACATGGCCTACGATGTTCACTTTCTAGTCCTGGTGTTGCATGTAATGGCATGCTATGCTATGGAATGGGTGTACATGGGATGGGATGACATTCATGGGAATGGCTTGGTATGACATGGGTGTGTCTGGCATGGCATGGCATGGCATAGCATGGCACGGCATGGCATGGCATGGCGTGGCGTGGCATGGCATGGCATGGCATGGCACGGCATGGCATGGCATGGCATGAGGTGAGGCATGTTGTCAGGCAGGGGGATCGTCAGATGGATCAGAGGCCATAATCCGACGGCTGTCGTTTAATGCTGATGAGATCAACGCTGTGAGTCTAGTTCCTTACACACTCTCTCTCTTGGGGTTCTTTTTCCCATGCCTCCATTCCCTGTCGCCCCCTCCCCCTTCCTTTCTCACTCCTTCTCACTCTCCCTTGCTGCCATTTCCCCCAGTCCCCTCCCCACCCTCCTCCCCCCACCAGCCGTCCCTCCCTTCCCCCAATGTGCATGCGGTCTGTCAATTTAAGTAATGCCTCTGTGGCCAGTTCAGTTACTTCAACTTACACCCCTTCTTTTGCAAGGTTCACCTTGGTGGCTCTTTGTTTCTCACTGTCGAATTGCCTATTCTATTCATCAAATCATTTCTGTGCCTCTGAACCCCTCTCCACCGCACTCCACCAGCTGGCAGTGGATCGTAAGGGTGATTTCCTGGCAGCAGCTGACGATTCAGGGCAAGTCAAGGTGTGTGTGTGTGCGAGTGGTGGAGGAACCTAACCAGGACCCTGTTTTTTTATTTCTGACTGCCCGAATGACCCCGAGGTAGTCTTGCCAGCCACTGTCTCCAGTGATCTCTTGCGCATCTCTTTCCTCCGCATCCCTCCGTGGCCACTATGCTATGCCCACCATTGCCCATGCCATCAGGTGTGTTATGAGTCTGTTTTTTAGTCGACTCAAAAATAGACTCATCACACACGCAACCCCTCCGTGGCCCCTACGATATGCCCACCATTGCACATACCGTCAGGTCGTCAGCCTGGTCAACCACTCGCTGCACCGAACTCTCAGGGGCGTGCATAGCTCGGTAAGCAAGCCCCTGAGGTGAGGGTACTCCATGATCCTTCCTGGCTTGTGCGCACTACTCTCTGCTTGTTTCTGCTCCGCTGTTTTTTGCCTCTGTTTTTTGCCTCCGTTTTTTGCCTCTGTTTTTTGCCTCTGTTTTTTGCCTCTGTTTTTTGCCTCTGTTTTTTGCCTCTGTTTTTTGCCTCCGTTTTTGTTCCTTCATGTCGCCTTCAGTTGTTTACTGCCAGCTCCCTCCTGCCCCCTCTCTACAGCTCCACCCTCTCTCTCCTCCGCTTTCCACTGCTTTTTCCTGCTGCTCCCTTTGTCCCCTATTCCCTGCTCCTCGCTTCCCCCCATCCCCGGCTTCCCCCTATCCCCGGCTTCCCCCTATCCCCGGCTTCCCCCTATCCCCGGCTTCCCCCTATCCCCGGCTTCCCCCTATCCCCTGCTTCTGCCTGTGCCTTTCACCCATACATGCATGCCCCCCTGGTAGTAGATCTGCAGCTCCATTCAGTTCCGTTCCACCCACTCTCTGCTCCGCTTTTCACTGCTTATTCCTTCTTCTGCCCCTCCCCTCCCCTCCCCTCCCCTCCCCTCCCCTCCCCTCCCCTCCCCTCCCCTCCCCTCCCCTCCCCTCCCCTCCCCTCCCTCCCCTCCCCTGCCCTCCCCTGCCCTCCCCTGCCCTCCCCTGCCCTCCCCTGCCCTCCCCTGCCCTCCCCTGCCCTCCCCTGCCCTCCCCTGCCCTCCCCTGCCCTCCCCTGCCCTCCCCTGCCCTCCCCTGCCCTCCCCTGCCCTCCCCTGCCCTCCCCTGCCCTCCCCTGCCCTCCCCTGCCCTCCCCTGCCCTCCCCTGCCCTCCCCTGCCCTTCCCTGCCCTCCCCTGCCCTTCCCTGCCCTCCCCTGCCCTCCCCTGCCCTCCCCTGCCCTCCCATGCCCTCCCCTGCCCTTCCCTGCCCTCCCCTTCTACTATTCCCCTGTTCCTCCCTTCGTCCCCCTGTGCCCTTCACGCCATGCATGCACATTCCCCTGGCAGATATGCAGCTCCGTTCTGTTCCACCCCAAGCAGCCATGGCAATGTGAGGACTAGGGTAGGGTTCACTGTTTCAGCTTCGCAGCTCGTTTTGAGTTGTTTTTTTAGGACTAGGGTAGGTTCCAGCTTTTAGGCGCCTAAAAAATAGACTCACGCTTGGATTCTATAACTGGTTCACTGTTTCGGCTTTGCGGCTCTTCTTTGAGTTGGTTTTCCAAGGGAAGAGTAGCCGTCTCTCCTCTCTGTCATTCTCCCCCCTAAAACCCTCTCCCCTCGTACTTCCTTCCAAACAACCCCCCCCCCCCCCCCTCCCCCCCCCCCAGTGTTCTCTGCTGGTCTTGACTGTTGCTGGGCTCAATGGGACTTTGCCTCTGGCCGCCCCCTTCGCTCATTCAACCTGTCAGCAGATACCACCTCCCCCAGTGCACCCTCCGCTGGCGCACCCTCCTCGTCCTCCTCTTCCTCTCTCGCCTCCTCTTCTCGTATGTGCAACCCTCCTTTCATCCACTCACTATCTGTCCACCACATGCCTCCTGTGAAGGCTTCTTGTGTTGCTGAAAATAGCACCACCACCACCACCACCACCACCACCATTCCCTCCACTGCCGCCAGCACCGCCCCTGCTGCTGCCGCCGCCGCCACTGCTGCTGGTGATTCTTGGAGGACACGTGGCATGACGCTATTGGCTGTGGCGCAGGGCGATGGCACTGTAGCAGTGTGGGATGCTGATGCTGACTTGGAAGGGGAAGGGGGGAGGAGGGGAGGAGGTGGGCAAGAGGAGAGGAGGAGGAGTGGGGGGAGGGGGAGGGGAAGGGGAAGAGAGAGGAGAGGGGGGAGAGGGGGACAAGGAGGGGGAAGGCAGGGGAGGGGGCAGGTGCCTAGTGCAACAGTTAGGGGAGCAAGTATCAGCACTTCTGTTCCTGCGACCATTGCAGAAGATTCTGAATTGAGTAGCGAGGATGCTTGTAATGGGGATGCAGGTGGGGCAGAGGGGAGTCAAGAGGAGAGGGGGGGAAGGGAGGAGGAGAGGGAGAAGCGGAGCGGGCCACAGCTCCTGGTGTTTGGTGGGCGCATGGCAGCAAGAGAGGGAGGGATGAGAGGCCATTGCGCGTCAGTGTCTGCTGTGTGAGTGATTTCGCCCCTCTTCTCTTTGACATGTCTCTAAGACCGTCTCATTTAAACCTGTGCTCATGATCCCCTCTCTTCCCTCTTCCCCACAATCCCAAGCCCAACCTCCCCTCCCCCCCCCCCCCTCTCTCCCCTCCTCTCCCCCCTTTTCCCATTTCCCCGTCCTCCCCCTCCCCCACCTCACCCCTTGCGCCTTTTGCCGCGTTGCCCCTCTCTCCTCCCCTCTCCATCCCTGCACCAACTGCCTCGCACTGTTATGTTGCCTCTTCCCATTCCCCTCCTTCCCTCCTCTATCTGTCCCTGCCTCCCCCCCCTCCCCCCCTTTACTCTTCCCTCAGCACATTCTGCCGCTTTGCCCCTCCCATCTCACCGCTCCTCGCCTCTGGTGGCAACGACCGGCTCGTCCTACTCTGGGATGTCACTCAGGCCCTCTCCACTTCCTCCTCCTCCTCCTCTTCCTCGTCGTTTTCCCTTTCGTCTGAAGCAAGAGAGGGGGGTGGTGCGGAAGCGGGTGATAGTGAATCCAGCAGCAGCCATCTCGGCGGTGAAGCGCAGAAAGTGGCAGGTGCGGGAGCCTTCGGTCCAATCCTGCGGATACAGCACGGGCGGAAGGTGAGTCTGCTCTTGAGTCAACTCAAAAGCTGGTGATGATGAATCGGGCAGCAGTGATCCTGGCGGTGAGCAAGGAAGGTGGCAGATGTGGGAGCCTTCGGTCCAATCCTGCGGATACAGCACGGGTGGAAGGTGAGAGCGACAGATGGGGCCCGATTTTAAGGTGCCTCAAGGCTATGAAGGGCAGAAAGGGACTGGTGGGAGGGGTGCCTTAGGACCAATCATGCGGATACAGCACAGGCGGAAGGTGAGAGTGACAGATGGGGCAGGGGAGCGATGCGGGGATGATACAAACACAAGCGGATGGTTTGCTGGGTATCTCTAACGCTGTGTGTGATTGTTCCTCGGTTTCTAGTTTCTAAGCTGCCGTTTCGAAATCGTTTCTGACATCCTTTCTTGGCGTCCCTGTTCTGTCTCCTTGATTGTCGTGTTGTACGGTTGTATGTGCCAGGTGAATTTCCTTACCACTTCGTCTGGCGTGCGCGGTCGAAAGCTCTTTGTTGCAGACACCTCCAAGAGGGTCTCTGTTTACGACATCCCGTCATGAGGTGCATTGCATCGGTTTGGTTCCTTCTTTTGGTGAAGCCATCTTAGCACTTAACTCTATGGAGGGCTTATGATTGGTTCTTATCCATGGTAGTACTGTAAGCAATTTGGACAAATCTGTGTTGATTCAGACACCTTCATTTATTACCGTCGCGCATTTAATAACATGGATACTATTTCTCAAGAAGGGCCACAATCCCTCGTCACATTTAGTACCGTAATAGCCCGGATAGAAGACCCCCTAGTAATAGAAGACCCAGGGTCTTATATGAGGCGTCTATCTTGTTTTTGGGCTTCCCGTTTATAAGACACCCCCTGGGCGGTATGAGATAAGACCCCCCCTCCCCTTGCCTGTTTTTTTTCTTGTTTACCAAATTCCCCCAGATAAGCGCCCCTATAGGGGAGGGGGGTCGTTTATTCGAATAATTTATATCCCCCCACCCCATTAACGTTTATGACATTTTTTATGTCAATTCCATTTTTTTATCATATTGTAACTTCTATGTTGTCTCATGTATTGGGAGAAATTTCGACGAGGATTTGTCGTGCCGATTGTCCAGTTGGCGATGTGCTAGGCTGGAAACATGTGTTTCTGACGCGGCTTGTGACAGGTGTACCTAGCTCGTGACAAGTGTTTCTGACAAGTGATCCTCGAATGTCTCCATGGTACTGAAATCACAGCTTGATCGACGGCTGGGATGGTCGCACTCCACACCCTCGTTCCTCCCTTGCTGCTTTACTCGTGCATGCTGTCATTGTTGCCGCCAAAAAAGTCGCCCCCTTTGTGACGCCTTCTCTATGAAAACGCTTGCCAGAAGTCTGGTGTAACTACCCCTGGTGTTTTCCTGTGAAGTTACGATGGTTCCATTTATAAGACCCACTTCCACCTTTTTTTTTCCCGTTTATAAGACCCTTTTGACTATTTCCAAACGGTATGTGATAAGACCCATGAGTCTTCTATCCGGGCTAATACGGTAGTCGTCCATGGCGCTGGCGGGAGTTTCGAAGAGGGCATGAATAGGGCGTGCCGGACAGGGGGGGCCTGTTCTCGCCGCTCAACTGAACATTTCGGAAATTCACGGGGGGTCTGTTAGAAACTCAGCCACTAACCACTGAGTTAAAAGGGCTTGTTAAGTAGCAGGTAAGTGCGCCCATAACCCCCCAGGTTCTGCACCTGTGGCCCTTCCCCCAAGGATCTCAAGGGCAACCCCACCGGGTCTCTGACACCCCCTCTCACTGGGCTAGGCGGAAGACCTTACGCCTCTCCTGGTGCACTGTCACTCCTACCAGTGCACACATTGGGATTTGAACCAGCCCCTATGGCTATGACATCATGCTAGAAACTCAATCACTAACCACTGAGTTAAAAGGGCTTGTTAAGTAACGGGTAAGTGCACCCATAACCCCCTAGGTTCTGCACTTGTAACCCTTCCCCGAGGATCTCAAGGGCAACCCCAGCGGGTCTCCGACCCTTCGAGGGTCTTTGAATGAATCCATCCAGCCCTTCGCTCTCTCTCGTCTTGCCATATCCTGCCCTACCGGAAAAGGTCTGAGTGATGGGGCTTGTGAATCTCCGAGACCCGATTCGCTAGCCCTGACCGTCCCACGGAACAAGGAGGGGACATACAGTGTCAATGGACGCCACAGTAGCTAACGGCAAACGAACCTCGGATAGATCACGACAAACTAACCACGTGCATGCTGACATTGTTGTCAACTTATACATATGCTGTATGTAGAAGTTATAGGCTAGCCTAGGTGTGTGCTTCTAGTGAGTACAACCCCAACAGGTATATGTTCTAGGTTTCTCACACTAGTCAATTATTCTTGCATTCTAACATGGTATCACGAGTAGGTTAGGTCCAACCGCACGCTTCCGCCCGCGCCCTAGCCTACCCCCCCCCCCAACCTAGACCTCGCGCCCGTCCGGCCCGTAGCGCCCGCCCGACCCGTAGCGCCCGCCCGGCCCGTCGCGCCCGCCCGGCCCTTACGCACCCGCCTGGCCCCGTCGCGCCCACCTGGCCCCTAGCGCCCGCCCGGCCCTTAAGCGCCCGCCTGGCCCCGTCGCACCCGCCTGGCACCTCCGCGCCACCCTGGCCCCTAGCGCCCGCCCGGTCCGTAACACCCGCCTGGCCCCGTCGCACCCGCCTGGCCCCGTCGCGCCCGCCTGGCCCCTCCGCGCCACCCTGGCCCCAGGCGCCCGCCCGGCCCGTAGCACCCGCCTGGCCCCGTCGCACCCGCCTGGCCCCGTCGCACCCGCCTGGTCCCGTCGCGCCCGCCTGGCCCCTCCGCGCCACCCTGGCCCATAGCGCCCGCCCGACCCCTCCTAGTGCCCGCTCGGCCCCTCCTAGCGCCCGCCCGGCCCCTCCTAGCGCCCGCCCGGCCAGTTGCGCCCGCCCGTCCCACAGCACCTGCCCGGCCCCTCCTAGCGCCCGCCCGGCCTCTCCTAGCGACTGCCCGGCCCCTCCTAGCGCCCGCCCGGCCGGTCCTAGCGCTGCCCGGCCCCTCCTAGCGCTCGCCTGGCCGGCCCCTGCGCCTGCCCGGCCCGTCCTAGCGCCCACCCGGCCCGTCCTAGCGCCTGCCCGACCCCTCCTAGCGCCCGCCCGGCCCCTCCTGGCGCTGCCTGGCCCCTCCTAGCGCCAGCCCGGCCCCGCCTCATAGCGCCTACCCGGCCCCTCCTAGCGCCAGCCCGGCCCCGACACGCCTGCCCAGCTCCTGCGGCCCGCAGCTTCCAGTGCACGCCCGGCTCCTGCGGCCCCGTGTCTTCTGCTCGGCACGGTTCCTCGACTCTCCGGCCCCGTGACTTCTGCTTGCCCGCGCTGGAGCGTCTTGCGGACGTCCTCCTGGAGCTGTGCTGCTGTGTCCCTGTGTCGCTGACCCTGCACGATGGCTGACTTCGTCCTCCGCCTAGACGCTGAGGGCCACGCGGTTGACTTCGCCGCCTGGCTGTCCAGCCTCCGCCGTCAACTCACAGGTCAGCGCCAGGATGGGCACTCCTTGGTTGTCCATGCTGATGGCTTGCTCCCCCGCCCCCCTGAGCCTGCTCCCCTCCCTGCTGATCCCACCTCTGCTGAGCGTGAGACTTTCTCTGCTGCTGCACTTTCCTGTGCCGTCTGGGACTCTCGCGATGCAGTTGCTCAGGTCGCTATCAGTAACGCCCTCCCTGTGTCTGAGCGTTCGCGTTTTGCTACAGTTGATACCGCCAAGGCTTACCTAGATGCTGTTGTTGCTCGCTATTCCACGCCTGCCTCCGCTACTACAGGCCGCCTGCTTTTCCCTATGCTTTTCCCAGACCTTGCTTCCTTCCCTACTGTTGCTGACCTTGCCACTCACCTGCACGCCCTAGAGTCTCGCTACCGCACTGCTAGCACTGCTGCCCAGCTCACTGCGCTCCCTTCCCCCTTCTGGATGACCCTCTACTTTATCGCTATGCGCCTGCCTGACCGCCTTGCTAGTGCACGCGGCCACATACTTAGCCAGCACCCTGGTCATCTCACCCTTACGGCCTTTGTCACTGCCCTGACCGAGATCGAGACTCGCCAGCGCACTATCGCTCAGTCGAGCGGTGCGCCGCCAGTCTCTATCTTTCACGGCTGCGCCCCCTCCCAGTGCACGTTTACTGACGTTTCGACCCCTCTGACCGAGACTGCAGCTGCGGTCCACCCGCAGCAGCCCCCGCGTCGCGCTGGCCGTGGCCGCCAGGGAGGGCGTGGTGGTGGAGCTGGTCGTGGTGGTGGTGCTGGGGACAGTGGTTCTACTGAGGGGACTGCCGCAGCTAGTCAGGAGCAGCAGCCGTCGCCCCAGCAGCAGGAGCAGCCGCAGCAGCCGTCGCAGCAGTCGCAGTCGTCGCAGCAGCTGTCTCAGCCCTCGCCGGATTGGCCCGGCACCTCCGTAGGTGGTGGCCGTGGTGGCGGCCCGCGCAGCTTGGCGTCTACAGGCAGCTCCGGAGGTGCGACCTGCCAGTACCAGCTTCAGACCGGACCTCTCCGCGGCACTCTGTGCCGCCGCCCGCACCCGACCGCCTGCTGTTTCCACCGCCTCGACGATCTCTTTCGTCGTTGCTTTGGCCCGGCCCCGGACCTCCCCGACTGGCACAGCCTGCTTCGCCAGGGTGTGCCGATCTTTGAGTTAGATATGGATCAGATAGGTGCTGCTTTGCATGCCTTGTATGCTAACGCTTCTAGTGTTGCTGGATCTTATTACCCTGTGTACTCTAGTTTAGGTGTAGCACCCTTGTGTAGCTTAGCCTCCCCTGCTGCGTCAGGTGTAGGACTGCCTAGTTTGACTAGCCTCGTTCCGGCTCCGGCTCTGTTCCCGGCCTCCGCCACTGCCTCACTGTCCTTCACTCTCGACTCCGGTGCTTCCGCCTGCTTCTTCCGCGACCGCTCCACGCTCACGATGCTTGCCGCGCCTGCTGTTGTTGCTCTCGCTGACCCCTCTGCGGGTCCTGTCGTCGCTCGCAGCTCCACTTCCCTTCCCTGTCCAGCCGTTCCCTCGGGCTCCCTTATAGGCCTCCACGTTCCCTCGTTCTCTAGGAACCTGGTTGGTGTCGGCCGTCTTCAGGACCTCGGCGCCACCACTACGTTCCCAGGGCACGAGCGGTTCGCTGTCTGTACCGAGGCTGTCTCAGGTTCCCCTCTTGTGACGTTCCCCCGGAACCTGGTGTCCGGTCTGTTTACCCTTGACACCGCTTCCCACCCGGTTGGTGCGTCCTCCCAGGTCGCTGCAGCTTGCTCGTGTTGGTCCCTCACTCACCCGTCCCTTCTGTGGCACCACCGCTTAGGTCACCCTACTCTCCCGCGTCTGCGTCACATGTCCCAGCACGGACTTGTCTTAGGCCTCCCCGCGTCGCTCCCCGCGCTTCCCCCCTCGCCTGCTCCACCGTACACGCCTTGCGTCGAGGGCCGGCTCCGCCGTGCCCCTCACTCCTCCTCGCATCGCCCTGCTACTGCTCCCCTTCAGACCCTGCACCTCGACGTTTGGGGCCCAGCCCCCGTCCCAGGACCGCGTGGTGAGCGCTACTTTCTTGTGCTCGTCGACGACTACACGCACTACACCACTGTGTTTCCCCTGGAGCGGAAGGCCGACGTGCCTGACGTTCATCTCCCGTCTGTTGTGGCTGCGCGTCTTCACCGCGGTCTCCCCGTATTGTGTCTCCACTCTGACCGTGGAGGCGAGTT